AAATAAACTGAGATTTTATTGAAAATCATTCATGGGTACTCTCGAGGAAAGTATACTCGGGTGTATACCATTCGCTAGATTATGCTAACCTCTATTTCGTTAGTAAGCCGCCAATGCTTTCCTCCTCCCTTGCCGAAAGCCATTAGTCTCAGTTGCCCAAGGGCCAGTAACCAGATGAAGAAGTGAGGTGTATATCCAAGTCCAAGTGAAAATCATTCAACAGTTTATAGATAAATTAGTTTTCTTTTTTTTAATTAATAGTTGTTTTTAAGAATCGAAGAAAGCAATTTGTATCGAAGGTTTTTCAAATTATGAATACGTTACCTATAAAAAGTTTTTTTTTTAAAAGGAACAGTTTAATTTTATGTACCTTAGATCTCGGCTATTTTAAGCCTACATGTTTTTATTAAATTTTTACATCTATATTACCAATTCCTTTTTAACTTCCTGCCGACAGAACTGTGTAGGAGTCAGGGAACTAGCCTTGCATCAGAAAGGTTCTGGATTCGAATCCCGGACAAGGCGCATGGATGTTCTTTCATTCTCTGTAGTATCTGTCCTTATGTGGGAGCAACTTTGCCTTACTTAATATAGTGCCCCTTAAAGATACGCCAACAAATATGCCTGTATTGAAGAAAGGTCATTCCCCAGAAGGGCATTGGAAAAAAAAGTTTTTTTTTAACTTCCAAAAATTGATATTGCATTGTAACGTTTTTTAATCGTTTATTAATTTGCTCATTTCTTGAATACACATCAATCATAAGAAACTTTCAACTTTTCCAATTTCAATCGCATTTAACTATGATTTATGAATGAACAATGAATCCCTTCATCTGATTTGTGAACACATTTAAAGTTCACTTCCTCAGCCATTATGTATTCAATCATGTATTCAAAACTTTCACGAAGTTAAAGGGTTCTTCAAATCAATCTCAGAGACACTTTACGGTGAAACCATTCAGTGGCTGGCTGAGAAAGGTGCAAAGGAGACCTCTAAATACACTATAACTTTAATTCTGTTATTAGATTACCAGCATTAATAAGAAATTGAATTTCTTATCAAATAAATTATTCTCTCAAACACATTTTCGGGTTTTCAAACAAATTTTACTTATGAAGTTTTAGGTCATTAAAATTAGTTTTTTTTCAAACGAAGAATATTTTGTTTAAGACGTTTTTTTTTTACGAATAAGAAGTTTTGCTAACATTTTCAAAACATTAAATAAATAAATTTAAAATTATGAATTAAAATTTCTGTGACTCTATAACGTTTTAATGTTTTCCCATTTATTATCCAAGAAAATGGTACTCTAGGACATTTTATAAAGATTTTTTTTTGCCCTCCAGAGATAGCATTTTTACACCACTCCTCTTTAAGAAACATCTAATCGAGGAGTTAGCCCAACACTTCCTAGAAGAAACAAAGCCTTCACACGTAACACTTTAGTAGTTAGACGTAACGAACATAAACTACTCAGTGGGAGAATGTTGATGTCACAACCAAATCCTTCGGATTACAAAACTGCGCAGTGGGGAAAATAAGTAATATGTCACAACGTATAGACTACTAATGGGCGATATTTCGGGTTTATGATAACCCGTGTGAAGGTTTTCTTTTTTCTGGAAGTCTTGGTTTTGCTCCGGGCATTCACACAACTCGCCGCTGAAAAAATGAAAGATTAAACGCCGCCGAAATCAATTAGCAAACACACATAGTTCAAGTTTAAAAAAATGAGTTTTTACAACGAATTTTTATGCAGAAATTGGTTTATTTAAAAAAAATAATTATAGTTTAACCCTTGGATAAAATTAAAAAGTTTAGGGCCATATAGTTATTAGCCATACATTTTCAAAAGTGACACTTTTACAGCAAATCGTTCCTTTAAGATTGTATTCACGTTTCCGGAATTCCTGCTATATTATAACATAATACGGAAAAAAAATAATCGAAATTTCCTAAACAATATGAAAATCAGGCTTATCACTAAATCGCTCCAAGCAATTAAATTGAAAATTTTAATAAAAACATAGTAGAATAAAAAAAACACTTAATTTTTTAAAATTTAAGAAAATGTTGCCATCAACTAAAATATAATATAAGTTTATTCTTTCAGTTGTATTGCAACAAGGTGTGCAACAGAAAAACACGAATTGATAGAAAACGAATGATGAACGAATGAAAACTGATTAACATTCTGAAAATATATTTTTTAATTCAGTAAAATGTCGATGTTCTGAAGTTAAATTCATTATCTGATAATTTTCTTGTGTATTGAAATGTATGGAAACAGCAATAATATACTGATGTAACACAAATATTGTTTATATTGTTAAAGCAGAAAAAAAACTTTATTCATATAGTTGTAGTATTTTTAAAAATAGTGAAATACCAAGTGATAAACTGATATAAATTTTTACCGAATTAAGTTTTAGTTTTTAAACATGAAAAAAAATCGGCATAAAGAAAAGAAAAACAGACAAGTTGGAATATTATGGTTTGCGAACTGTAAAAACAGTTGAATACAGTTTTGCGTGAAACCTTTTCAAAATTTTAAGTTCAACACTTTGATGTATTCCCACATAGTCCAAATCTCAGAGTTCAGCACTTTTTTTTTAAATTTCCTCATATTTTTCTTAATCTGTTTCGTCAATTCCGTTTAATAATAAAATCATACTCGTATAATATACGCGAAAACGCGAAAATTTGTTATCACCGCGGAAACGCTTTCACTTTATTAAATAAAATTTTAAAAAAATCCACCTCTTTAAAGAAAGTTGGTCTTTTTCGAATTCCCAAGAAAAAAAAAATCATTTTTGCCCTTTTTTCTACCAATGCAAACCTAGATTTCAAATTACAATAGCATGATTTAAAATCACACATCGCGATTTCTATTTACGCGATATATCAAACATCGCGTTTCGTATTCACTTGATTCAAAAGTTACAATTATGATTCGTGTTCAAGTGACTTAAAATGTATACATCGGAATTCGTATTCACGTGCTTTTAAAATGAAGCATAGAGAACTCTCTTAATGCGTTTTTAAAATCAAACAGCGAGATTCGTATTCAAGCGATTTTAAAATAAAATGTCTAGATTCATATTCACGTGATTTAAAAATCACACACAATTTCATATTCATATTCACACAATATAAATAAAGTATCGATATTTTTATTAAAGCGTTGATAACATTCTGTGGACAAATGATTCCTACATACACTTTTTTCTAGCTGTAACTTCAGTTATTTTTTTGAACTATTTAAAAAGTATTTCTTCACATAACATTTTTAGATTCCTATTTTCAACTTTTTTGATTAAATACCTAACTCACTGTAAAAGGAATCAATATCGAACAAGAACTAATCAATGCGGGCAGAAAGTTTTTAAATTGAGATTTTGTGTAGCCAGAGAGTTTTTCATTTTATCTAAGTGTGATTAAAATTATGACCACACATTTGGAGGAGTCTGTACAATACAGCAAAGGGAATAAGATATTCAGCAACTTTCTGAAAAATTGCGAAATTTTGGATTTAAAAAAATTTTCTAATTCACATTATATGAATATATTTCGAACTCCTAAGTTATTTGATTGTGCGCTTTTTAATAGTATGTTTTGGTAACAGAGAAAAGCCAGAGTTTCTAAATCCACTAAAATGATACTTAGTACCTTCCTTCTATAAGATCTTTAATTAGCCGTAAATTCAAATATCATTTATTAGATTAAGGTTGAACTTTAAGTCAACTAATCGTTATAAAGGGTAGAGATTGACATTTAGACACTTAAATAATGACAGAAAAACTATTTTTAGTATAAGTACAAAATGTAAACAATCGTCTGTATTTAAAATATAAATAATCAAAATTATTAAAAAGATATAGCATCTTTCATAAAACTTGAATTAATGTTAGGAAAACTTTAAAAAACCCATTTTAAATTAGCTGCAACAGATTAGAATTGGATAAATTAATTAAAATTATTAAAAACATTTAGCATCTTTATAAAAAATTGAATTAATATTAAAAAATAAAAGGCCACTTTAAATTCGTGACTACAGAATAAAATTGATGAATCAATCAAAATTATTCAAAACATTTATATATATTTCCTAAAATTTGAATTTATATTTAAAAAAAAGCAATCTTAAATTAGTAGCTACAGAATAAAATTAGATAAACTAATTAAAATTAATAAAAGCATTTAGCATCTTTCATAAAAATTGAATTAATTTTTTAAAATAAATTTAAATTAGTGGCTACAGAATAAATCAGATAAACTAATTAAAATTATTCAAAACACTTAGCATCTTTCACAAAATTTGAATTTATAGTAAAAAATTAAATCATTTTAAATTAGTGGTTAATAGAATAAATTTTGATAAATCAATCAAAATTATTAAAAGCATTTAACATCTTTCATAAAATTTGAATTATTATTTAAAAAAATATTTTTAATTACTACAGAATAAAAATGGATAATTTAATCACAATTATTAAAGAAAAACAATTCATAAAATTTTAATTATATTAAAAAACTGAATTAAACCATATTAAATTTGTGACTACAAAACTGAATTTAATTATCTAAAAAGATGAAAATTCAAAACTGTTATTGTCAAACTAATTGTTGAAAGCTACAGAAAAAAGTTACTTTGAAATTTAATAATAACATTTATTAATATGATTAGGTTAAATACCTTAAGTATATGAGTTTAACATAATTTGACTTACAGATCTAAATTATATTTTACGTATGATAATTTGTATTCTTAATTTGATTAAAAATATCAAATATTTAAAAAATTAAAAAGTATGAAACTCTTTCTTGATTGAAACGTTTTGATACAAATTAAATATTTTCGTCTGCTTTGTACTGATTCGTCTGTTTTGCCTGCTTTTAATTTAATTAAAAACGCTCATTTTTTTCCATCAAAAATTCAAAACATTCTTGAAAATTTTGGTTAAAGATATACATGTATTTTTGTAAAACAAAATCTTACCTTATAAGTCATATCCACAGTTTTTGCAGTACTCTCGCTGCTATCCATGTTTTTTGTTGAAAATTTAGCAGGCACTGATACAAAATCAAATCCTTTTTTTTTTTTAAAAACCAACACAAATTCAACTTTTTGAAACGTTTGAAACCAAAAACTCCTTATAGTGCTTTTTTAACAAACAAGAATAAACAAAGTTGTTTGTTTAGATAAACCGAGAAAGTAACCACCTTTTTGTGGATTAAAAAAACAAATGATTTATCTTTCTACCTGGGAGTTCATCTCAGACAGAAATATTAACGAACGACAGATAACATGAACGGGTACAAAGTCAAAATGATTCGTTACAGGTTGCGGCAAAACACGTGCTAGAGAATTTCTCAAAAAAAAACTCGCCTGTCAAGCATCGCCAATTTCATCGCCAAACGTCTGGGTTGTGTAGGCATATTAATAATCTAAATCTTCTTTTTTTTTTAGAAAGAGAATAATTTTGTGAGAAGTTACTTATAAATTCTCAGAAATATGATTCTTTAAATTATTCCTAGCTATTCATCATATTATACGAAATAAAATAATACTTGTTTTTATAACATGAAAAAAATGAGCTGCTTAATTTATATTTATAAAAATATGATAATATCTGTACTCAGTGCTAGATTTGTTAAAGCATAATTTTCGGAGCACTATTTTATAGTAGAATCTGATGAGAAGTGTGCTGTAAAATATTATTAAAATGTCAGATTTAAAGCAATATTAAAAAAAACCTCTTGAAAACAAGTTTTTAATAACTGCTCAAAATTTATTGCACAAATGATAAGAGACAGACCAAAATTTATTTCTTTATTGGTGAATACTAATAATTACGAGTGCTTAACATTCGAAATTATTCAGAATTTTTTTTCACACAATTTCTTAAGCTATGAATTTATTAAAAAATATCGTAAAAGTTTACTGAACATTAAAATGAAAAAATAATTGAAAAATATAAATTTTTTTAGAAATTCTTTAAAATATAATGAATATATTATGTCACTATTAAAGTGTAAAAATTAGATATTCTGGAGATTATGCAGCTAATGTGAGAATAAACAACAGGGGGTGAACAAAATAATGGAAACACTTCTATACTGATGTTTTATTTTTTCATATTTCTCAAAATACTTGAACAATCTTTTTATAACTTCAGAATTGTTTAGATCAGGCAATTTCTCATACGTATCTATTAAGTTTAAAGCTTGTAGAGTTTTGAGGGACTGTCATTAAATTACAAACTGAAGTAATGTTTTGGATCACCCTTTGCCGAAAAATGTAGCAATAAATAAATTTGTAACTTGTGGCAGTTATTTTAGATATTCTATTCAATAATTGCACAAAATTTCGTAAACCTAGCTTAGATATTTCTAGAGATATTGACATTTTTATATAAAAATGAAATTGCATGAACTAAGCACTTTTAAATTTATAAAAGGATTCTCAAAGTATTTTTTGAGAAAGATAAACAAATGCGTTAGTACAGAAGTGTTTCCATTATTTTGTCTAACCGCTGTAGGTTCATCCGTTAAAGTGCGAAAAATGTTTCATTTTTCTAATTATATAGGTAATCTGCAAACTACCTAGATAACCTGCACATTACCTATTAGGCAGAAAATATATGTGAACAGATAGAAAAAAGTTGCTCGCTTCATAATAGAGACAACTAATAATTAAGAGTGCTTAAAATTCAAACTAATTCAGATATATTATTTTTTAACATTTCATTCTGATAAGAAATATTGAAAGAGTAGAAATCAACAGACAGAGTTATTTATAGCATTTACCTCAGTATTTTATTTTTCAGTGTTTTCAAAAAAAAACGTAAGCTTTAAAAATATAAACTAGGGTTTAATCTCCAGCTCAATAAGCTCGATATCTGAAGAACATTTTCGTTTTTTTTTAAAATTTTCAAATGATTAAACTATTAATTCAATCACATTTAGATTGATAAAAATTCTGTTAATACACCAGTTTAATGTCACACATTCAATTTATTGTGAAATACTATATTTACCAATCGACAATATTTATAACTTAATAAATGTTAAAGCAGAATCACGTTATAAAATAAGAAAACATTTTTAATTTTCACCAATAAGCAAAGTAAAATATTTATACTAAAACAATCGCAAGTATCTGTATTTAAAAAAATATTAAATGATTATAACTTAGTTTAAGTTTCCTGCGAGTGATAGCTTATCATATCTGTGGATATTTTTTCATGAAGATTATATCACGTGATTTATTTGTCTAATACAGTGATTCTCAACCTTTTTTTCGTTGCGGCACACTTTTAACGATTTCGAAATTTGACGGCACACAATGAAAAAATTAGATTAAAAGTTGTTTAATTACCTAGTTTGCACTGTGTTAAATAGTTTGTGATAATAATTTTGAATGTGGAATAAAATAATATGCACTACAAAATCACATTTATTAAGGGATTAATTATTTCTTTCGACCAATTTTTTATTAGTTAGTAACAGTTATTTATTTTTTTTGCTAGTTATAAATTGTTAGCTTGTTTTCTATAATTATTAACTGTTTTTTTTTATTTCTTGTTGACCAGTTTTTTTGCTAATTATTGTTAGCTTAATTTTTGCTAATTATCCTTTGTTAATTTGTTTTTTATATATTTGTTTTTTTAGTTATTCTTTGTTAGTTTGCTTACTAATTGCATAGCTTACTTTAATGATCAGCTCTTACAACATTTTTTAAAATTGTGTGTTAAACACTTCCATCTTATTTTAAGATTGTCAGAGACAATAAAATCGCCGACGAAGATGCTATCACGCTGTTGAAGCGTGGGAAAATTTTAAAAAGTATATACATATACACTTTTCCTTATTTTAAACTTTACTCATAATTAAAAAAAGCATTATAATTTTTATTGTATCATTTTTAATATTTGGAGGCACATTTTAAGAATTTGGCGGCACACAAAAGTGCCGCGGCACAGTGGTTGAGAATCACTGGTCTAATAGGAATGCGTGCAACGGCCAACATTTCATTACATTTTTATGTATAATTGGATATCTTTTTTTCTTTTAAATTCGTCTTTTGAAACTTCAGACCAGAATGACGTGAAATATATTAAATTTTTTACTGGCTTTACTCACTTTTTAAACCCATAAGAAGACATTTATTCCAGACATTTTCCTTCTTGATCAGGAACACACGAATATTACAGGGTACTACACATTTAAGGAATCTTCCAGAATGAAATTTTTTTAAGATATGCAAATGCCCTCAGTATCACGTGAGCCTTAATACAGAATTACCACATGAATTTCATGGCATTAAATGTTCATCCTATTCCACTGATTTATCATTTTCTTAAGATATGCAAAAGTCCGATAGATATTCATTTTTTTAATATTTCGCCAATAAGGATTCTTTATCAAGATGACACGATAATTACATAATATTAGATATTTGACTCATTACACTACAAAAGATAAGCAAAAGTTTGAAAGATATCGATTTTTGACATTTTGCCGTTGGAATTCTTAATTGGAACGAAATAATATTAAATGTTCAACTCCTTCTACTGAATTATTATTTTCAAAAGACACACTAATTCCGACAAATATTGATTTTTGAATATCCTGACTGTGGGGAATTTTGATCAGAATGGTATAATATTAGCTGTTCAACTCATTCTGCTGAATTATTTTTTTAAAAAGGAACGCTAATACAAACTGATAATGGTTTTTGAATATTTTTCTGATTCTTCATCAAAATGGTATAATACTAAATGCTCAACTCACTCTACCGAATAATTATTTTCAAAAGACGAGCTAATTCCAACTGATGATAATTTCTTAACATATTTCTCATTCTTGCTCAGAATGGCATAATATTAAATATTCAACTCATTCTACTGAATTATTACTTTCAAAAAACACGCGAATTCCAACCGACAGTAATTTTTGAATATTTTTCTCATTCTTTATCAGAATAATATAATATTAAATGTTCAACTCATTCTACAAATTATTATTTTTAAAAGATACGTACATTACAATAGATAGTAATATTTGAATATTTTCTATTCCTGATCTAAATGGCATAATATTCATTCTACTGAATTATTATTTTCCAAAGACTCTTGAATTCAGGCAGATACTTATTTTTTTCCTGCTGAAAATTATGATCAGGGTATCATTAAGTTTTTAGCAAATTAATAAATATTGTAAAATTCTAATTTTTGTAACAAATACAAGAATGTAACGATTTTACTAACATTGCAGGACCAAAAAACTTTTTTACAAAAGTTTATTGTAAACAATTTCTAACAGGTATTAACCTATCATTCCAAAGTTGAAATACCCAGAAGCCTATTATTCTAACCAGCTCAAACTGACTGAACCCGTTTTAGAATTAAAAAAATAAATAAACTATATACAGTTTATTTAACTGGTAATCCATCTTTTCTTTCTCGATCTTCTTGCATAAACCAATCTTAACTATGTAATTAAATTGATCTTACAAAAACATAAGCTGCTGAAGCATGCTACTTAAGTGCATTTTCTTGAAAAGAGAACTCCTAATTCAAACTGTTTATGTTTTTTGTGAACCCGAAAGAAAAATATTTTTGTTACTGGATTAACTTTGCTAGTCTAACTTATCAACCGCTGCTAAGTACATGCGGAAATTTTTTCTGATATTAATTTACTTCTAAAAATTCAGTTATATGCAATCATTTTACTTTGTTTTTAATGTTTCTGGTTATAAATTAAAATACTTCATAATATTCATTGATGTTTTTAATTGAACAATTATCCATGAACTAATTATCCAGGAACTAGGGGTGATATCTAATTCCTGACAACGCCACTCTTTACTTTCACTAATGAATTATATTCATATTTTAGCAGGCCATTATGTAAATTACTTGTTTCCATTGAGTCTCCACCCTGTATGTAGAACTGCAACATAATTTTCCTTTTCGTCGAGCTATTGAAACGAAATGTTTTTTGTTAAAAAATTACAGTCAAAGTATTAATTCAATTTTTGTGAATAATCCAACTTTGTTTATTTATTTTTATACAACAGAGCTGCTGTTATTAATAAATTTTTCAGTTTTCCATCAAAATCTATCTATAGACTCATAATTTTTTTTAAAAAATTTACTTTGCGTTGAAATGAAACAAAAAGAAGCATTTTGTGAGAGCTTAGCTTACCAAAGTAGCTAAAGAAGTTTCAAAAGACCAATATTATTTTACTCAATAGAGTTTTAAAAATTTTATTAAAACTATTTCGCAATGCAAACACCTTTAAATTCCTATATTTTGTGCAGGCTGTTGTTTCAATACCCCCCTAAATTT